GTCATTTTCACAATATTGATTCTACCAATCCATAAGCATGGTAGGTCTTTCCATCTCCTGTGTCTTTCTCTATCTCTGATTAGAGTTTTGAATTTTTCATTGTAGAGATCTTTAATGTTCTTGGTTTGGTTTATTCCTAAATATTTTATTGTTTTTGAGGGTGTTGAAAATGGGAGGATTTCCTTTAGTGCTTTCCTGATTGCTTGTTATTGGTATATAGAAAGGCTGCTGAGTTTTGTAAGTTGATTTTGTATCCTGCCACTTTACTGAAAGCATTAATCAATTCTAACAGTTTTCTAGTGGAATTTTTGGGATCTCATAAGTATAATATATCATCTGCAAATAGGAATAGTTTCACCTCTTCTTTTCCTATTAGTACTCCTTTAATTTCCTTCTCTTGTCTTATTGCTCTAGCAAGGGTTTTAAGCACTATATTGAAAAGGAGTGGAGATAGTGGACAGTCCTGTCTGGTTCCTGATTTTAATGGGAATGCTTGCGGTTTTTCTCCATTTAGGATGATACTGGCTATGGGTTTGTTGTGTACAGCTTTAATTATGTTGAAGTATGTTCTCTCCAGACCAATTCCTTTTAGGACTTTTAACATGAATGTATATTGGATTTTGTCAAATGCCTTTTCTGCATGTATTGAAATGACCATGTGGTTTTTGTCTTTAAGTGCATTTATATGTTCTATTACATTTATTGACTTATGAATGTTGAACCATCCCTGCATCTTTGGAATAAAGCCAACTTATCATGGTGGATGATCTTTTTGATGTGTGTCTGTATGTGGTTTGCAAGTATTCTGTTGAGTATCTTTGCATCTATGTGCATTAAGGATATGTGTCTATAGCTTTCTTTTTTTGTTGTTGTATCTTTACCTGGTTTTGGTATTAGAATGATACTTGCTTCATAGAAGGAGTTTGGGAGTTCTCCCTCTGTTTCTATCTTTTTGAATAATTTAAGCAGTATTGGTTGTAGATTTTCTTGGAATGTCTGGCAGAATTCTGCTATGAATCCATCTGAGCCTGGGCTTTTTTTAGTTGGGATGTTTTGTATTACTGTTTCAATTTCCTTATTTGTTATAGGTCTGTTTAGACTGTCGATCTCTTGGTTTAACTTTGATGGTGGCCAAAATTTTAGAAATTCATCCATTTCTTTTAGGTTTTCAAATTTAATGGCATACAGATTTTTAAAGTATTCCCTTACAGTATTTCATTTTTTTTTTTTTTTTTTTTAGAGCTCTTTTTCACCTTGACTATTTCCCATCCTGGCCTTTTGAGCGTTGAAATTCAAACACTCCCTCTACCCCCGCACCCCGTTTTATGGAGATTTCTTATACTCTTAATAGTCGATCAAGAACCAGCTCTTAGATTCATTAATTTTTTTTTGTATTACTTTCTTTGTTTCTGTTTCATTAATTTCTGCTCTGAGTTTGTTATTTCTTCTCATCTAACTAGGTTTGGGGATGGTTTGTTGAACCAGCTCTTAGATTCATTAACTTTTTCTATTATGTTCTTTGATTCTATTTCATTAATCTCTGTTCTTTGTTTTACTATTTCTTCTTCTCTACTAAGTTTGGGGTTGGTTTGTTCTAGCCTTTTCAGAGTCTTGAGTTATATTGTCAAATCGTTTACATGTGCTCTTTCTGATTTTTTTTTTTTTTTTTGGTCTTTTTTGAGATTTTTTTAATGTAGGTGCTAAGAGCTATAAACTTACCTCTTAGAACTGCTTTTAGGGTGTCCCAGACGTTTTTGTTGTCTTGTGCTCTCATTCTCATTTTGTTCCAGGAATACATTTATTTCTTTCTTGATTTCTTCTTTGACCCATTCATGATTCAGGAGTGTGTTGTTGAATCTCCACAAGTTCATGTATTTATTAGAGGCTCTTTTGCTGTTGATTATAAGCTTTATTGCACTGTCTGATAGAAGGCATGGAATTATTTCAGTTTTTTTGTATTTGTTGAGATTTGTTTTGTGCCCCAGAATGTGGTCAGATTTAGAATAAATTGCATGACCTGCTGAGTAGAAAGTGTATTCTTTGGTGGTTGGGTGGAATAGTCTCTATATATCTGTTAGGTTCATTCATATAGTATGTCATTTAATTCAGATGTCTCTCTGTTTATTCTTTGTCTAGTTGACCTTTTATTGAAGAAAGTGAGGTATTAAAGTTGCCCACTATCACTGAATTGGTGCCAATCTCTGCTTTATAGTCCTGGACTACTGATTTTATGCAATTGGGTGTTCCAGAATTTGGTGCATATATGCTCATGATTGTAATATCTTGTTGGTCAGTTGTTCCTTTGATTAGAATGAAGAAACCCTCCTTCTCTTCTGAGGAGTTTTAATTTTTAGTCTATTTTGTCAGATACTAAAATTGCAACACCTGCTTGCTTCATAGGACCATTTGCTTGGAATATTTTTTCCATCCTTTCATTCTAAAAGAGTGTCTATTCTTGGAAGTGAGATGAGTTTCTTGAAGACAACGAAAAGATGGGTTTTCTTTTTTGATCCATTGCACCAGCCTGTGTCTTTTGGCAGGGGAGTTGAGGCCATTAATATTTAGTGTTAATAATGAAAGGTGCAGATTGTGTACTGTCATTTTAATTTTTGTGTTTGTGACCCTAATTTTGTGTTTCCGTTGTTATACCTTTATTTTCTTTCTGTAGCCTGTTGAGCGCACTCATTCTTTTCTTCAGTCCTTTGTGTTATTCAGGTATTCTCTGTAATGCTGGTTTTGAAGACATGAATTCTTTCAGCTCAGCTAGTTCTTAATCTTGACTACCTGAGTTGCACAGCTGGAGCTTGCACTTGTTGCTCTTTTGAGCTGCCCTTCTGCATCCTCTTCACACTTTTCCCTGTTGTATCACTTACTTTGTGGTTTCTGATGTTCTTCTTTCTTTGGAATAGAATTCTTTCATTCACTATATCCTATGTTATACCGCAAAGACCAGCATCTTAATCTGCTGTCGTATGGTGAGATCTGTCTATGTTATCCTAATAACATGCACACATTTCAAGGGTTAGGACCTGAATGTCCATCTGTTAAGCTGACAGTATTCTGTTGTTACCCAGTATGTGTTCTATTGTTGGATAGGACACCCCTAGCATTTTGGTCCAGTTGGTTCATACTGTTCAAACCCTATAGCTACTTAAGAGACTTTCTTTTAATTACTATTTTGAATGATTAATACAGAGATATTAAAATCTTTGTGGATTTATTTTTTTATCCTCATTGCCTTTTAATTGGAGGGCTTAATCCATTTTTATTTAATGCTATTGAAATAATAGGGTTTAAATTTACCTTTAATTGTTTTTCTTTCCTCCTTACAGTATTTATCAATTCCTGCCTTCCCTACTTCTTGCCTAATTGTGGCTTACCATATTTTAATTTGTTTGTTGTTCTTATAGGCAGGGTCTCACTATGTAGCCTAGGCCATCCTAAAACTTAAAATCCTCTTGTCTCAGTCTCTTGAGTGTTGGGGTTCCTGGCATATGCTAATATGCCTGCTTCACCTTCAGATTTAAAAGATAATTTTTCTTTAGTATAGAATTCTAAGTTGACAGCTTTTCCAGTGCTTTAAAGATATACTGATGTAATTAAAAATGTAAAATCCACAAAGAAAGCTAATAATAAAACTCTAGATAGTTAAAGAAAAAAAGAGAGATGCATTGCTGTAGCCATTGTGTTCTGACTGCATTGTCTTGGTGAGAAGACTTGGCTCCTGCCTGTATTCCATTTCATGTGTTTGTCTTCCTCTGTTTGCTCTTAAGATTTTATCAGTGCTTCGTAGCTACTTGAATGTATTATGGGGTTTAGAGGATTTTTTGTTGTTGCTGTTTTCTTGGTAGACTTGTTCACTGTTTATAGTTTTCATAAAATTTGGTCAGTATTCTATTTGGAAAAAAGGAAAGAAAACATCTTCCTCCTTTCAGTGGGCTTCCAGCCACAGACTTGGTGCTGCTCCATCCTGCCCGCCAGCTCGTGGGTGGCTTGTCAGTTCCTGCCCTTGCTGGCTTCGCTGTCCATGCTTCTGCAGCTGCTTCCACTTCCCACCCTCCCATCGCTATGTAACCTGCTGTCCTTAATCCTTTCTGCTATACTCTTAATTTCAGACACTAAAGTGGACTCAGGTCTTTTTAGAAACTGTCTTTTTGTCCTCAGACTGTTTTCTCTACCTTCTTGAACAAATGGAATGTTTTCATATCTCACTAGATGTGTCGTCTGTATCATGTCCAGGTATATCCATTGATTTTGTTCTTTTTATAGATCATATTATTTGTGGTTCGCAGGCATGTCAGGTTATTTTCCCAGATTGCAAATTTTATACTACTTAGTGTTGGATTTCGTTTTTGTATCCCTTTAAATATTTCTGGTTATTTTAGTGTTAATGGTTCCTTTGTATCCATAGACTGTCAGTATTGGCTAAAAACTGGTGGTCCTTTCAGCCCTCCAGAATTCTTAACGCTGCAGTTACCACCCGGAAGTACTTTTCTAGTTGCTCTGGCCTAACTCCAAACTCTTATCTTCTTGACTCAGCGAGACCCATGAATTCAGTTAACAGTCTCTGTTTGTCTGTAGCCCTAAAACTCTGCAAATTGAGGGCAGGAGTATTAATAAGGTTTACCTCTTTTGATTTTGGAAAATAATTCTTGTCCTATACTGCCTGGGTTCTGGTTTGCTATCTAAAGTTTTTTGCTTTCTGAATTTTATTACATTTTTAGATTAGAGTCATGATTTCTGCTATTTCCTATGACTCAAACTAGTTTGTCTTCCTCCCTCCCTCCTTCCCTCCCTTTCTCCTTCCCTCCCTCCAATTTCTTTCCCTTCCTCTGTTCTTCCCTTAATTAATACCAAGAAAATTCCAATTTTAAGATTAAAACAGATGTTCTGCATTACAGCATATAGTTTTCTATACTATGAGCTAAGTAATATGGGCAAGAAAGGAGGAATTTTTGTATTGTTGTTTCAGAGATTTAGAGTCTTGCTTTCTATTTTAGAAGCAAAACGGACAAGCCGGTTTTTAAGTGGCATTATCAACTTTATTCACTTCAGAGAAGCATGCCGTGAGACATACGGAGAATTTCTTTTGCAAAATGTAAGATTTAAGTGTATTTGTGGGATACACATCAGATTTGTAATCTCATTTATGAATTATTATGAATTATTAATCTGCCTCAAAATATTTTCAGTGTCTCCAGCTGTGGAATTAGAATTGAATTTGTTTTTATATTAATCTGAAGTAGATTTTAGTTTTTAGACAGCATAATTTTGGAAATGATATTTTCTTAGTGATAGAAGATAGACTTTTGTTTCAATGCTGTAGGTGGACTTCATTCCCTAAACTCGGAGATATTAGTGCACACCATATTCGAATATGTAGTTTTCTTCTGAAAGCTGCATTGATAGCAGAGTGTTCTTCAAATGATTGAGATATTTGAGGTTTTATTCACCTTTTAAACAGCAGCTACTTGGACTGTTGGTGTTTTCATTCTTGCATTGCAGCTACTTTAACAGATGGAAGCACATTCCTTTTTCCTTTTACAATTTAGGGAATCTGTGAAGATTATGGATTCTCTATGGGATTCTTAATATTGTAAGGCTATAATCTTAGAAAGTATAACATCAGACAGTTAGAACTCAAGATTCAGCTACACTGAACTGTATAAATACTTACTTGTACAAGTCAGCTAAGGTTATACTCCTGAGACTTGTCAATGTTTATATATAGACACACACACACACACACGTATACACACACTTTTGTTTGGCTAACTACTCTTTGAAGACACAGCTCAGATGTACTATACTGCCTGTGAAACTGTGCCTTCCTTCCATAGCCATTGCCCATGTTGGGATGAATATTACTTATCTTTGTTTTCATTACGTTCAGTGCTTTAATAAATTATTTCATAGTTTTTAATTCATGTCTGTTCAAAAAGACAGAACTAAGTTTAGTAGCTATATGTTGCTTTCTTGAAAATTCTCAGCATCTAACACATTGCCTAACCATTATAAGAATTCAACATTTGTGTTTAAGTAAAGGAATTCTTGGGAATACTGCTCGAGGTTCTGCCTAGCGCACGTAAGGTCCTGAGTGTATTCCCCAATATTTAAAAGAAAACAATTCTCAGTTCATTTAAATGCCTAACTACTTAAACAGTGTTAGTATTATTTTGTGTGTGGATGCATGTCCATGGGGAGGCTGGAGCCAGGAATCACATGTCTGCCTCAGTTGCACCTCAGCCTTATTGTCCTGAAACAAGGTCTCTCACTGAACCAGAAGCTCACCATTTTGGCTAGGCTGGCTGACCAGAGAGCTCTCTGGATCAGTGAGTCTGTGCCCACCAAAGCTGGGATTACAGGCATGTGTGTCCATCCCAGCTTTTTATGTGGGTGCTGAGGATTTGAACTGAAGCCATCCTGCTTGAAAGGAAATGCTCTTACCCACTGTGCTGTTTTTCTAGCCCCTAAACTTACTATTTTTGATGGTGAGTAACCTTTTGAAGTCTATTTATAGATTGGCAAATCTATAAACATTCTAATCTGTTGAAATGTACTGATATGAGATTAATTATGCTTTAATAGAAATCCTCTGTGGACAAAATGCAGCAGTTAAACACTGCACACCAGGAAGCCTTAATGAAAATAGAGCGACTTGAGTAAGTAGGGGATTTACAATAGGATGAATGCAATTTCAAAGTGCAAACAGAATTGTAAGTAATGTATTACAGTGCTACCGTCTACCTTAGGTCCCTTTAATTTCCTTAACAAATGGCAGGTTAGTTTAGCTTCCCGTTTCTAAAAAACAGAACTAGGTTTTTCCCCTCTAACTCTTGATCGTATTATCCTTGACTGCTTTCTTGTGGGTACCACTATGACTTCTTTGAAGCCATTAACTTACTTTCCTAGATTTGATCTGAAGTATTTGCCCTATGAAGATAAGCAGTAATAATCTAAATTTTACTAATCTAATTTTTACCCCTATAGAATGTTGGTTTTACTTTGGATTCATTGGTTATATATGGGAAAGAATTATTCAAATGTTACAAGTTTTTAGGATTTCTTGTTTTTTTGCTTTTCTGGTTTTTTTTTTGTTTTGTTTTGTTTGAGACAGGGTCTCCCTACAACCCCAGCTGGCCTGGAACTCGCTGTGTAGAACAGGTTGGCCTTGATCTCACAGAGATTTGCCTGCTTCTGCCTCTGCCTTCTGAGTGCTGGGATTAAAGTTGTGGGCCACCACATCCGTTTTGGCCCTATACAGACTGATGTTCCTCGACTTACAGTGATATTTCATCCCTATAAACCTGTCTTCAGTTTAAAATACTATATTTAATACACCTGCCCTGCTGAGCATCATAGTATAGTAAAACTACACACTGTAGAGATGGGTTGATTGCCCTTACAAGTGAGAACTACAGGTTAATACCCAGCATTACTACCTATCCTTTGCTTTGGCAAAGATTAGCATTTGAAGCATGGTTTCTTCTGAGTATGTATCGTTTTGCATCATTGTAAAATTAAATTGTTCTGTAGAACCATTGTAGATTGAGGACCACCGTGATGATTTTTGAACAGAAGGATTTTGCTTGCTACTTTCTAGGTTGTTGACTACTTGTAGGTGGTACTGATAAACAGATGCTATAATTTAGCATGCTAAAAATCATCACAAATCACGTCAAAAGAAGTGAGAGCTGGTAGTGAATATCTGCAGCATAGGCTGCAAAACATTGCTAAGCTGGTAACAGAACTCGGGTCGTGTTCCTAGTATACAAAGCATTCTTATGGACTGGAAGATGAAAGTTAACTTCCAGAAACCTAGGCAAGGGTTATAAACATGTAATTTACAGCAGAATCCAAGCAGTTAATATATTATATAGACTAAAAGGAAAACTGGAATGTTTATGTGAAAGAACCTTGGAATATATATATATATATATAAGTGCTGATAGAAAGGACTAGTCACGGAAGAGTGGCTGACAGAAGCCTGGCAGGTGTATGGTGCCGAGAGCTAGGCCAGAGGTGGGGAAGTCAGCATTAAGCAAGAGAAGGAATGCTGTGTTCATTAAGAGTGAGGTTGGATGGGGCTGATTTGATGGTAGAAAATTAAATGAGTTAATATGATTTGTTTTCTTTTCATAGAAAATAAGTCATCTATTTTTAAGTGATATAATGAAAGTATATAACTCAGAGATAAGAAATCAGACCCTTCTCTAAAGTTATTTGAGGGCATAGATTTTATTTGTGCCTTTCAAAATTGAGAATTCAGCCAATACTGTTTTCGTCTATTTTATTATGTTAAGTTCGGTTCCAGTCGAAGAGCAGGAAGAGTTCAAGCAACTTATGGATGATATCCAAGATCTGCAGCAATTGCTGAGTCAGGAGTTTCGGCAAAAAACGGTATCTGTGTAAACACCTTTTAAAAATGTAGATCCATGAGAGTACATAGGTGGGTAAGAAAACTTGCTTTCAGGGACTGAAGAGATAGGACGTATCACTGTGTTTATTTGTACTGCCAATTATAATGGATTCTGAGTGAATAGAATTCTATAGGATCCTCCTGTGTGTCATGCTGCCATGAGGCTGCAGTACTCTGGGCATTTCTACAAACCCTCAAGGATGCTTTAGGATATCCTATATTTTTATGGAAACGTGATAGCATTTAGCATCTAGCCTGCACATCCTGAACTACGCATTCAAGACAGTTCACAGCTTTAATGTTAGATCATGTTACTTTCCCTGTATATCAGTGAAGCTGGTTTGGGGATTGGCCATGATAAAAAGCAAGTGCAGTCATGAGAGGAAATGAGATTCTAGATTTCACGATTCCAGGGCATGTGGATGTGTATACTGCTCTGTAGATTCTACGTGCATCTAGTTAGTAGTTATTATTTAAAAAGAAAGTAGCTCTGTTTTTCCTTTCTATTTATATAATAGTTGTTAAAGTGCTGCAGTTTTGTTAGGACAGAAGTTAGGCAATTTTTTATTTTCTGCATTTAGAGCCTTTGGTAGACAGGGGGTAGGGGGTAGTAATTATTACCAAAGTATCAAACATAAACAAGGGGAAGACTGCTGGCTCACAGTTTCATAGGCGTCAGTTGTCGTGGTTGGAGGCATCATAGAGCAGCTTGTAATATGGAGGAAACAGAAGGAGAAGATGGGTTGTGCCAGGCAACATATAGCTGTGCAGTGTCAGCCTTCTCCAGGCAGGCGTTCTACCACCTGCTGATAACCTGTCCAGATTTTGAACCCATTGGTGGATTAACCATTAATTAGGTCAGAGTCCTCACGATCTAAAGTCACAATCTAATGTCTCTAGAATCATCCTCACAGACTAACCCATACGCTTCTCAATCCACTGAATTTGACAAGATTCATCACCACGTCTGAGTAAAGGAACTCTTACACATGTGTTTGACTGAATAGAGAAAGTTCGAGACTATCTGCTGTAGCTCACCTCCTCTTCCACATTGTGTGAGAAATCAGCTAGTGGCTTGGCTAAATTTTAATGTTTTGGATCATTATAAAACAGTTGTGGGGTTTTTGTTGTTTTTTATTTTTTTTCCTCTAAGATAGTGCTGCAGGATGGAAATACCCAAAAGAAAACAGATATTTCAGAGAAAACCAAGCGTTTGGTAAGCATGTTTTCTGTTATCTATCATTTAGAGTAAATATCCTATGTAGCAGAATATTACAGCTGTATGATTATGAAATACTTCTCTATAATCTTTTCCCCTCAAAATGAAACTACTTTTAACTCTTTTCAACTTAAGTATAATGACTATTAAAAGGAACAACACAAAATATTACCTCACAAAAATGTATAAAATAAAACTCAACCAAAGCAAATGAATACATTCCTATATATAT